AGGCTCCAAGACCTGCCTGCGCTCTTTCTTTTCGTGAAGTATCTCGTCTCCCCCGCCCCGCCCGGCCCCAGGCCCCAGGGCGGAATGTAACATCTTGTAATGTGGCAATCACTGCCAAACCCGTCCCTGCGAGGGGAGCTCCCGCCAGGGGGGCCTCAGAGCGCTGTGGGGCCTCCGCATCCGCCCCCGCTGGGGTGGCTAAGGGGGGAGGGGGAGGGGCAGCAGGAAAGGCGCTCGGGGCAGACCCCAGGTGGGGAAGGAGGTCCCGGCACAGGGAGGCTTCTCTGGGGCTGTTTTGGGTGTCATGACCCTGCCAGAACGCACCAGTCTCCGGAAAGCCTGGTCGGACAGGGCCAGGGGCGCACGTAACTGGAACCTCAGGATCGCGCCCCATCCCCTGGCTTCTGGGGACCCCAAAATCGAATGCAAGGGAGGTATTTTAGGAGGAAGCGAAGATCTGTGGCTTCGTTCTCAAAGTGGTCTCTGATCCTAAATAGGTTTAAGGCACTGGTGGTCGCTGTTCCTTGGCGGGAAAGGAGCCGGCTTTTGACTTTTGAGCTAGAGCTTGGGACGGGGACGCGGGGGTGGGCTGTGTAGGAGTTGGGGAGTTGCTCCTGGGTTTTACTGTCAGTGAGCACGACTTTTTTTTTGAAAGGCAAGGGGGATTCCTGGTCCCCAAGATCGTTCCCCTTCCAGGGGGCTTCTAACACTGGAGGGGACCATTCCACCACATCTGCACTCCTCCCTTTACCCCTCTTTCCCTCCTCCCTCCCCTCCTACCGCTGAACTGTTTGTAAACAAAGCTCCAGTTTTGCAGCGCACTCTTCGCCCCCATCAAACCTGATACTTCCCCCAAACTCGCCCCACCAGTCTCGGAAATTCTTACACAGGACGGATATTCACAATTTTCACAAGTAATCCTGAAAGAAAGCCGAGGGGAAACCTCCTAAACGGTCCCACATTGCAGCCGCTCTGATTAGGCCCGGGATCCGTTCCCTTTCTTCTCGGCTCTCCCCAGCCCGGGAGCCGCGGGGCGGGCGGCGGGAATTCGGGGCAGCGTGAGGGGGGTGTCTATGCCCCGCGGAGCACCCGGGGCTGGGTGGCCTGCAGCCCTGCGCGCGCTGCGGAGGAGCGGGGGGGGGGGGGGCGGGGGCGGGGCGGGAACGGGAGGAGAAGTGGAAGAGGGCGCGCCCAGGCTGCCAGCCTCGGGAATTGGAACTCAATACCAGCGCTCTGCCAGAGTTCCGAGCAACCCTGCCAGGGGGTGGAGCAGAGAGGGCCGGGCACCCCTCACTCTTCGGCTTCCCTCCCCCCGCTTCCCAGCGCTTGTCATATCCTGTCTCTGGCCTGATATTTCACGCGAGCAAATGGAAGGGGATTACAATGAAGATTTATGTGTGTTCCGAGAGCGACTAGTTTCCCAGTGTAGGGAGCCGTGATCGCCGCTTCCCATTTCCATTTTTCATTCGCGCTTTGGGGAGCGCAGTCCCGCGCGGGGTGGGGGGGAGCGTGTCTGCTAGGCGGCGGGCTGATCACAGGGCTCCGCGTCTCTCGGCGGGCCGTGAGACTGTGAGAAAGACTTGCCAGCTCGTTGCCCCCGACGGGGCTGGAGCCGGCCCCTGCCTCCCCCAGCCGGGCTTTGTTTGTCCCCTCGCTCACCCCTCCCCCTCCCCGCCCCCTCACTTCTGGGACCTGGGCGCATCCTCGCTTTCGTGTCTCTTTGCCCTTCTCGGGGTCTGCGGAAACGCCCCCTTCCTCTGGCCCCTGCACCCTCCTGCTCTCTGCTTCTCGGGCTTCCCGGGGAAAGACGCGCCGTGGCCTGGCGCGACCCCGCCGCCGCCGGGTGCAGGTTCGGTGACTCCAGCGAGTCTGTGGGGCCTCGGCCCACCCCGGAGCTGGGGCCGCCCGCCCTCCCGGCTCCCAGGCTCGCTCATGCCAAGGCCTGTTGCGTGATTCCAACTTGGGCTGACATTCCCTGCCCCGGGCGCTCCGGCGTAGGCCTCTTAATCATCTTGTCTGCTGCAGATCCTCGACACCAGCCAATTTACTGCCCCGTCTCTCCTCGCTGGTTTCAGGAGGGGGAGGGGAGTGCGCGCAAAGGAGGGGAGGGCACATTCAACCGCAGGAGGAAGGCTGGCACCAGCTACTGGCACTCAAAGAAAACCACGGAATTTGGAGCTGGGGGATGGGGGTCTGCTAGGCAGCGGCTGCTTAGAGAAGCTAGAATCACGGGGTCAATGAGCTTCAGCTCAGGCCTTCCTAGCCTGGGAAAACAATGCAGGAATGTGAATGGACACTGGATTTGTAACCTCCCTGTCTTTCCCAGAGCCCCACTCCCTGACCACACTCTGTTGTAAGCTAGACTCCATGCAGGGCCCAAAACTATCTGGCCAGAAAAGACAGGATTTGTGTCAGGATGATGCCACTGAACCTGGAAAGTCACCCCCATCTCTTGTCTGCTTTTTGGCAGAGGTGATCTGAAGACATGCAAGGATGGCCTGAATAGCCATCCTAGAGGAGAGGAGGCCTGGATCTGGCTAAGCACGGCTCTCTGGCCTGCCCCTAAATTCCTGTCCAGTAGAGGCTGGTCCCTTCAGGGGGATGGCTGAGGTTCAGGTTCTCATGTAAGAAGGGCTTCGAGCTCTCTCAGCTCTAGAGTGCTACTCTCCCACAGGAGGGAAGCTGGAAAGGCCTCGGGGTAAGTCTGGGCCTCATAATCACAGGCACGAGTAAAGCCTCCTTGTTTGGGGGGCATTGGGACAAAACAATGTGCTACTAATAGCAAAAATGAGTGCTTACCATGTGCCAGGCACTGTGTTACATCATTGTCTCATTATATGCTCACAAAAACTCTGAGATAGCTGTTATTCTTTCTCCATTTTATAGATCTGCAAACTGCAGCACAGAGAGGTTAAGGTGGGTAGCCCAAAGTCACAGAATCAGTGATGAAAACTAAGATGCTTCTGTCGTAGGCCTCAGTGCTTTGAAGGAAAGGGACTTTTAGTTCAGGCCTGCATTACCCACCTACCCCTGGCCTTTGCAGAGAATGACAGAAAGTAGGGTCACTTCCCACACTGGAAGCTGGTTGGGTGGGACCCCAGGTAGAAGGCAGAGCTGAATGGTGTGTGGGCCTTTCCCCTCAGAGAATGTGAGGTGGAAGGGTGCCACTCCCACAGCAAAGTGCATCAGTCTCTGTGTGAGTGTGCCTGTATGCATGAGTGTGCCTATGGGGGTTTGTGTATCAGTGTATGTGAAGATGTGCGGGCATGAATGCGTGTGTGACTCAGTAGGAGCGTGTGACTGTGAGTGTGTGTACGAGTGAGAGTATGTGATAGTACAGATGTGACTGTAAGAGTCACAGTGTGTGATTGTATGTGTTAGCGCAGCCCTGTGTGCCGGGGTCGCCCTACATTCCAGAGCAGCCAACCGAGTTTCCCGAGGGCCAGGGTGACTCACCGAGTTCTCAGCTCAGCCGGCCCCAGAAGGACCACAGGGCAGAGGGGAGGGTCCAATGTAGGGGTCTGACCCCGGCTTCGGCAGCGCTCAGGCTGCGCCTGCAGGTCCCCCGCGGCGGCTCGGAAGCGCTGCCTGGCCGGCACCACCGGTGCGGGGGCGGCAGAGACCGCCCAGGCTTGGGCCAGTGGCGCCGGCGCTGGAGGGGCCCGGCGGGCGGAGGCTGCATCCGCCTCGGCGCTGAGTGACTCACCGCGCCTCGAGCTGGCAAAGCCCGCGCCAAGACTCGAGTGCCCGCAGAGCGTGAACGTTTCCGGGAGGCCCGCGCCGAGCGCGCCTGTTCCCGCCTCGCCGCACCTCACCGCTCTCGCAGCTTCTGAAAGATGTGTCACTCTTGGCCGGCCAGGTTCCCCGCCCGCGCTGAGGCTCGAGGTTCCAGGTCATGACACCAAGGAACAAGCGCACACATCCAATGAAAACAATAATTTATTTAAATAATCTCTTCATATTGTAAAATCAACATTAAGAGCATGTTGTTTTCATAATAAATAACCCCAAAATACCTTTCACTTCGAGAACAAAGACTTTAGGATAAGATAAAACAAAACCAAATCAGTAGCTTAGTTTGAGAAAAATTTCAAAGGGAAAAATAAAATGGAGGGGTTGCTGAGGTCACTGCTAAACCGCAGTTTTCACAAGTGGGGGTTTACAAAAAAGTCTGAAAAGACGAGTATTTTTATACAAATAAATCAGTGGGAAAATCTGCACAGACACCTTTATTTACAAACTATGTCGAAGTCCAGCCTAATAATCCTGAATAGGTTTTAAAAAAGATAATTTAAACACATTTTTTTTGCAGTGTCCGCATATTAAAAAATCATTTTTTCCCCAACATCAAAATGAGGTCATCCGCAAAGGCACCTAAACTTTTAAAAAAATAAAAATAAAAAAACTCCACTGGTGATGGAAGAGGAGAGAGCTAAGGGAGCGTTCCTGGGGGAGATCTAAGGCGGGGCAGAGTGGGGCTCCAAGGGCTGGAGACAGCAGGGCAGAAAAAAAGCGGCGGGCCGCCCGGGTCACGGGGGCGTGTGGGGGAGGGCGCGCAGGCCGGGGAGGTCAGTCAGCCCAGCCGACTCAAGCTGGGCCTGGGGGCGGGCGCGGAGAAAGGAGCCTCAGAGCACCCTGGAAGCCTCGCGGGCGGGGGAGGCGTCCCTTCCCCCGGACTCAGCTCGTGCCCCGCGGCGAGGAAGGCGCCCGACCGCCTTGCGGGGCGCGGAGAGGAGGGGGAGGCATGTCCGAGGCAGGGCTCAGGTCGGAGAGGCGGCCAACGCGGGCGGCCTTGGCGGGGGGCCTCGAAGAACCTTCCAGTTCCCGGCCGTTAGGTGGCCGCGCTAGGGAGCAGGGCCCGTGGCAGGCCATCCCGGACCGCTCCTCCCTGAAGGTGGGAGGCGTCCGCGGGCCAGCTGGAGGGACCCTCTGGCTCTTGGGGCGAGCCCTGAGGATCACCGGTCTCTGCTCTCTCAGTCTCTGGCGCAGTCTCCCTCGGGTTAGAAAATCGTCCCCGCGCTCACCGGGGCGCCCCCGCCGCCGCCGTGGTGGTGGTGGTGGTGGTGGTGGTGGTGATGGTGGTGCGGCTGCGGGGTCTGCGTTGGGTGCAGCAGCGGCGCGGCGGCCTGCAGGTGTGAGGCAGGGCCCGAGGCCTGGTGGTACCACGGGTAGTTGCCCAGGAAAGCCGAGGCCGCGCTGCTCGGGCTGGAGCCGGAGCTGCCCGCGCCGCTGCCGCCGCTGCCCGGGCCGCCGCCGCTCCCCATCCGCTGCGGCGCGCTGAAGTCCCAGGAGGCCGGCGCCGACACCGGCGGCGAAGCACAAGGTGGCGAGGTGCTGGCCCCAGGGTGCTGTTCCGAAGGGATCTCACCGCTTTTCCACATCTTCTTGAACTTGGACCGGCGGTTCTGGAACCAGATTTTGACCTTTGTGGAAAAGGGACCCGAGCGTTAGTGCAAGAACCTGGATCTGGGGCAGGGGAGGGGAGGAGGCAAGCACGCTGGGCAGGTAAGCGGATCACGTGCCAAGGCCTCGGAGGCTGGGATGGCTCCCAGTCTATTGGGAGGTAATCTCAGAAAGTCGGAGACAGCTGGTTGTGGGTGCACCGTGGTGATGGTGACAGGGGGAGAGGGTCAGGAGGGCCCATTATTTTACCCGCTTAATCAGTTTCTCGCGGAAAGACTGTGAAAGCGGATTTCTGCCCACCCCGGTCCTTTCGTTTTCTCACACGCCGCGCCCCCCCAGCCCCCGCGGGGATTGCAGCTTCACGCGTAGAAGTTCAGGCCGCCCAAGGCGCGGGCCTCGTAATCCTTAAAATTACTTTAAAAACACTTTTTAAAAACGTTGTCCTGACCCCGCCTGCTTCCCAGCCATCCCAGGCCAGCGCGCTCCTCGTTCCCCTCCAGACCGGGAGCCCTCACCTGAGTCTGGGTGAGGCCCAGAGATGCCGCCAGCTCCGCTCGCTCGGGGAGGGCCAGGTATTGAGTCTTTTGGAAACGCCTCTGAAGAGCCGCCAGCTGGAAACTGGAGTAGATGGTGCGGGGTTTCCGGACTTTCTTTGGCTTCCCATTCACTATCCGGATTTCAGGCTCGAGGTCCTCTTTCTCTGCAACGCAACGCAGTCGTGAGAACAGCATAACCAGGGGGCCCCAAACAGTTCCCGCTGGGCGTAAGGGCCTGGCGTGGGACTTGGCCTGAGCCGGGAAGCGGGTTCTTGGAGACGTAGCCGGGCGCTCAGACTCAACTTCGCTAAGTGCGGACTCGAGCCGCCATGGAACCCGGGAGCTGGATTCTCCGGGAAGGGGAAGAAGGAGCCAACCGGAGAGAAAGAAGGAGCAGGTGGTAAGGAAATGGGGTTACCATGAAGCATGCACCGCGCGGCCACTTGGTCCCTCAAGGCCACCCGGTCCCACCAGCCGAGCACCGAAGGACGTACCCAGTGACCCCCCCCCCCCCCCGCAGATTGGTGGTTGAGAACGGTAAAAGGCGCAGGGCGGGCAAGGAGCAGGCAGTGTAAACGGCCAGGGTTCCGGATGGATCCCCGCCCCAAACAATTTTATCCCACCCATCCCAGTAACTAGACTGACTTGTCACCCATGACGCCAGCGTTCGTTGTGCGTACCAGGTTCGTTGTTGGCCGGGGAAGAACTGGTCCCGTAGGGTGCGTAGGAGGTGTAGGCGGCGGTGTAGCCCAGGTCGTAGCCGCTCTTGGCCGAATAAGGGACGTTGTTGAGGCCGCTGGCGTGGTACTGGTAGGAACCCATGTGCGCGTAGGGCGAGCCCCCACTGCCGCCGCCGCCCGCCGGGTGCTGCTGGTTGGTGTAGTAGCTGCTGTCCGTAGCTGTGGATACCGGGAGTGTGGGCGACTCCTGGGGCTTGTGGAGGCTGCTGCCGTTGCTGCCGCCGGGGCCAGCGCCGCCACCGCTGGGGGGCTGCTGGTGCTGGTGGTACGTGCTGGAGGCCGTGATCTGGGTTGAGTGCATATCAGCCACCAGACTGTCAAAGACTCCAGTCATCCTGGCCCGGGACGGGAAAGAGCAGCGGTGGTGGGCGCGAGGGGGGAAGCGAGGCGCCTCCTCCGTCTCTCCCTGTCCCCTCCAGCAGTCAATGTAATTACGGGGGGTGAGGGAGGGTGGGGAGGAAAACAAGAAATGTGGCAACCGTCTGGGCAACTCCTCCTCCGGGGGAGGCGATCACCGTGCCCTGCTCGGGACAGCTGCCGCCGGCCGCATCCTCTCTCCGCCTCTCTACCCGCTCGGCTTCTTGCCCAGCGCCGGCTCGGGCGGGGGGCGGGCCGTGGAGGGGACAGGGGTGGCGGGGCCAGGCCAGGGCTCCGGGAGGCGGGAGCAGGTAAGCAGCCCAGAGCGGCCTTACGATTGTCTGCGGGGCGGGTTCGGGCAGGGTGGGCATTTAACACTCGTCACGTGAGCGCAGGCGACGTCACCTAGCAACAGCCAATCCCAAGGGCCGGGCCGCGGGGCTACGGGCGCTTGGGGACGCCCGGCCGGGGGGCTGGTGACACAGGGCGGGCGCTGCGGCTGCTGTGGTTGCGGGTGCAGACAGGCCGCTGCTGAATGTGAGCAACGAGGCGAGGGATTGGGGAAGGGGCGCGGTGGGAAGTCAGGGTGGCCAGCAGCAGTAGGACCGAAGGCGTGAGGACGGAGATTGGCTCAGAGGAAGAAGACATGGGGTCTCCCATCCCATTCTGTGTTCAAGTGCCAACCAGTTCCAATGATTCGTATCTTCCTGTCCGAGGTCAGCGTTCAAACATTAATCTAAGCGGTGCCCAGAGTCGGGCCGGGTCTAGCTCCGCTTTGCCTCGAAGTGTCTGGCAGTTACTCTTGTCAGTCATTCGGCACTTGACAAAGTCAATTGATTTAAATTATCCATAAACCACGTATAATAATACCTACTTCCTCATACTTGCTAACCAACCCACAGGAATATTAGGCAATTAATTAGATAATGTTTAAACGATTTTTTCTTGTTGCTTGCGTGAAAAGCTATATAAATTCAAAAGTATTCTTATTAATGATATATTTGAAACCATATTTTCCTTGTACTTTCCTGATAGGACAAGACTTGGAGCAATTATGTATATTTGATGGTTAAGTGACAGGCCAAAAGCGATCCCGGGAATTTCCTCTCTAGGTTGGAATGCTAGATCAGATTGACCAGATGGCCTTCAAAGTTCGTTCTAATTCTAAATTCCATATTTTTACGACAAAGAAGTGGCCTAATACTTAGGTGAGAGAGTCTTCTCGATGCTACAAGTCTTGGTAAGCTTACAGAAACAGAAAAAGTTTTATCTCAAGCACTTAACCCTATTTTACAGTTCTTTCAGTTTAGGACCCTGTTTCGTCCTGTCATTGCAATTCCTTCTTCTTTTAAATCTGAAGTGGTGATTTCCCCTATATCAGTATTTCCTAGTGGTTGGGGACGGTGGCCCGGAGTTGAGGGACACTCGCCTTATTGGACTCCCCAAATCCGCAGTTCCCGCGGCAGTGCTTGCCTTGTGGCGCCACCTGCTGGAGGTGTGCGTGGTTGCAGCGGGCCCAGTAGACGGTCTAATAACGCGGAGGCGCCAGTCTCTGAAACCCCCCAAAAGAACAAAATAGTAATTAAAAGCCACAAAATTGTGCTAGTGCGAGCCATCTGAAGCACCCCTTCCTAAAGACATAACATGTCGCTGAAAGAACTTGTTTCAACAACTGCCTAATGGAAAACAAGTTGGTACTTTGAAAAATATGATCTTGGTCTTCTTCCTCAGAAAAAGCAAGTGTGTAATTAAAACTCCAGCATCCACACCTCACTCTCTGCGGAATAATGAGGAAGGTAATCCACCCTCAAATCTGCCTGGATTTAGTTCCCAGCCTTCCTTTTGGTTAAGGAAGGCCCCTTGATGGAGGCTGGTGAACTAGTTAGAAACGCTTTGGGAGGTGGGGCTCTCACCACCCAAGGGACTGCCTTGGCTTACCGCTGTGCTCAGCCTGCTGCTTTTAGGCCCCAGTTACAAAACTAATCTCTAGATATTTTATCAATATTGCCTTTTGGTATCTTGACTCCAAATTCCAAGAGTTTCTGTTACCACAGTGGTAGCTGCTTTGGCCTGATATAGAAATTCCCCCGCCCCCCAAATGAAATATAAAAGAAATTAATTGCCCTAGTTTTGCCTTCTCTTTGCTCCTTTGTTCCCACTCCAAGCATGTCCTCTAGGTTTTTTCACGGTGGCAAGTTTATTGTATTTTGTTATCTATGAGAACCTCCATTAACAACCTAAAGTCTAGGTCAGCTGAGGTCTGGAAAATGGAATCTTCCTGGAAGGAAATATGATTCCAGTTTCCCTTTAACTGGAAAATAAGGGACTGTATGTGTATATGGGAAAAAAGACCAGAGGCAATGAACAAGGAGATAGAGCAAGAGCGAGGGAACCAGAGAGGCATTTGGAGAATAAAGTAAAGACTTGAAATATGAAATCTGATAATCCAGACACAGAACTGGTTTGCCCCAACGATCTGGTCACCACATCACAATATCCTGATGATTTCCTCATTTTGGTCTAAAGTCAGGGAGACAGTACCCTAGGGAATGGACACATTCGTCCACAGTTCAGAGCAGAGGGATGCCCCTCTCCACAGTGATCTGAGAAGGGTAGAGGGACACCTCTGTGTGGCCACCCTCCCTCCGCCTCAGAGCAGTCTCCTTCCCCCTTTCTGATTTTGGTTTTCTCGGTGGCAGGGGCATTCTTTTACTCTCTGGGCAACTAGAGAAGAATGGGGGAAGTAGGGGAGCTCAGTGTTTTTGCTCTGGCCTCCTACATCCCAGTCCCTTTGCTTAAGATATTCCTGCTTTGAATCCTGTGCCCATCAGTTGCTGCTGCGGCACTTTATCAGGTCACGGGGTCCCGCCGTGTCCTCCCAGGAGAGCCTCGAGGTAACCTTTGCCAGACATGGGCGGAATCAATCACCGCTCCCATTGTACAGAGGAACACTAAAGGTAGAGGGTAGAAAGGACATTCTTTGAGTCGGGTACCCCTCCTTTCTCTGTTGCTGTAGTGCAAATCACTGGGTATTTACTCTGAGCTTTGGTGAACAGCTGGAGATCAGATCTTCCACTCCTTGTTTTAAGCCCCTGACCTACTGTTGCCCTGGGCTTCGCCTGGCCCAATGCACTGCCTTTGCTCTACCACTGGGCGTCCTCCATTACACTGAGGGGTCCAGTGGGGGAGAGGATGCCCCCCGGTCAGGAGGGAGCGCGGGGTGCCCTCCCTGCGCAGAGGGATAGGCTTATTCGCACTCTTCTGCTCTCCTGGGGGGGGGGGGTGTCACATGCACTGTTACTGGACTGTCCCTTGTCCCCACTTTGCACTTTCCCATAGAGGGTCCTGGGGACGCGGGTTTCTTGGCCATTGGTCCTAGAGGCATTCTTTCGTGTTTTTGTCCCCCTAGAAGTTCTAGGAGTCTGAGCTTTTGAATTTCTTTTGGGTTCGTTCTAGAACTCAAAGACGTTGGGATAAGTTGGGAGTTTATGGGAGCCTCCTATCTCCACCTTTCCAGGACCATACTGGCCTGCTCTTGTCCCTTCTTCATTGGCCATTGCATCTTCTTGGGGACGTTTGCCCAATCCTTTCGCATTGCTAGTGTCCTCAACTTGCCCCCGCATCCCTAACAGAGACTCCAGGGATTCCGGGTGCGGTCAGTTCCTCACAGCCCCTTTGGCCCTTAAGCAGATGGGATCTCTGACTCCGGGGTCTGCCTACTTGGACCCCACTTTTTTCCTTGGCGTAAACTCCGCGAGAGCGCATAACGGAAACACACCCATTGCTGAAGTGGGGACCTTGAGAAATCCTTTAGGGACACCTAGCAAAGACGTCATTTGAACTCAGGTCTGGGCCCTAGAGGCAAGGCCGCTTCGCGCTGGGTCTTTGGCCTGGGGCTCACGGGGGAAGGCCGTACTACCCCACCTTTCCTGCGCCAGGTGCTTTGAGCAGAGCGCAATGGGGCGGGTGGGAAGGGGGCACTGACAGTCCCGAACACACCCCTCCGGCCAGGAGCAGACCGGAAGGAGAGTGTTCTCCCAGAGACTAGCAGGAGCGCGGGCATTGAGTGGGAGGGATCACTGGGCGACCCAGGAAGATGCCGGAACAGATTCGAGGGTCAACCCCGAGGACCGGAGGCGGGAGCCCCTGGCCCTGCTCGCCAACCCGAGACCCTGCTGTTTCCGCCTAGATTACCTTTCTATCTGCTGGTGTGAGTAAAGCAAAAGGCTTTGAACGCGAACGAGCCTTCTGCCTTCTAGGTCTTACTCCCTCCCCGCTCCGCCCCCCCCCCCCCGCCCCGGCCCATTTCACTTTATAGACTACTCAGTGGTTAAAGAGAACCAAAGCTAGGGTTCCTGGCCCTCGAGGGTACCTAGCGTGGGTCGAGGCTCTGAGGCGCTAGGCGGGTGGCCTCCCCATTGAGTCCGAGCTCACAGGCCTGGTTACTAAGAGCTCAGGCGGGCAAGCAGCAGTGGGCGAGGGAAAGACCTCTGGGACGGGCACTTTGCACCTGGAGCAGCACTCACATTGCGTGAGGAACTGGAGGTGTGCAAATGGCGCACAACAAGGTTCGTCCACGAAAGAAAACAATCCCCGACCTTTCCCGCCCCTACTCGCAGCCTCAGCTCCACACTGACCCCCCGCCCCCTGCACCGCCCGACGCCTCAGGGAACCTTTGGGCGCCAGCTGGCCGAGGTGCTGGGCGCTCCCGGGCTGCGTGGAGGAGCCAGGAGGGGAGCGCTGCTTTCGTGCTGGAACCTTCTGTCCTCCGCGCGTGGCTCCAGGCTGTCAGGTTGAAACCGCAGCTCCTCGCAGAAGAGCTGCGGAGGGTGAAACCTCACCACCCAAGGCTCACAGCACTGGGTTGTCAGTTACGGCCCGCTTCTGGACTTTCAGAACCAATTTTTGCCTTTTGCCTTCCAGGTCTTAGATCCTAGTCAGGTCCCTTTTATTGTCTATTCAGTGGTTAAAGCGTGC